AGAGAGACAGTGATAAAGATAAAGGCAGTGAGAGAGACAGAGAGACAAAGAGACACTGACAGACACAGAGACAGAGAGACAAACAGAGAGAAAGACAATGAGAGAGACAGACACAGAGACACTGACAGACATAGAGATAGAGAGAAAGACAGTGAGAGAGACAGAGACAAAGATAGAGAAAGACACTGAGAGAGATGGACACAGAGACACTGACAGACAGAGAGACAAAGAGAAAGACAGTGAGAGAGAGACAGAGAGACACAGAGGCACTGACAGACAGAGAGAGAGAGACACAGGGACAGAAAGAGATCGAGAGACAAAGAAGACAGAGACAAAAACAGACAGAGAGGGAGAGAGAGAAACACAGAAACAGAGAGAAATGAGAGATGGAGAGAGAGAGAGAGAACAGAGAGGCAGAGAGAAAGGAGAGACAGACAGACAGGAGCAGAGAGAGGGGAGGAATTCAAAGGGACACACGGACAGAGACAGAGAGACACACACACACCTTGAAAGAGGCACATAGAGAAAAATAGAGGGGAAAAATATCTAGAGACACAGACAGAGACACGTTCTTGGCTGTTTGTGCATTGATAGACGTTTCTTGTCCTAAGTGTTACCCCCACCCCAGGAGGCAAATGCAACCCCCATTCCCCATTTTCCTGTCTGCAAGAAAGACCCCAGCAAAACAAGTAAAAAAAAAAACTAATTCAGGGGAGGGAGAAAAAAATACTCCAACCAAAAACAAAACAAAAAACAACCATCAAAAACAAACAAACAAACAAAAAAACAACATCAACCAAAAATTTAAAAAAAATCCAAATAAAGGAAATTATAAGAGAACTGAAGAATGGTGGGGAGAAATGAGGCAGGCAGGGTGGGGGTTTTTGTTGTTGTTTTGGTTTGGTTTATTTTTTGCAAAGGAGTCTGCGCACAGATGGGCGGACAAGGTCTGGTCTGTGTGGACTCACTTTCTGGTCATTCTCATGCAGTTGTTTGGAAAATAGTGTTTTATGATCTCATGTATGGTTGAGACACCTTGCAAACCACCATTACAACCACTAGCACCACCACCATCACCACCACAAAAGACAGCCCATGGGATGTAAAAAGAGTGTTTGAAGGGTGTCTGAAGTCTTGGAACAGGGAGAGATGGGGAAATGGGGAGAGAAAGACCCTTTGTTGTGGCCGGTAGGTGGTCAGATATTTTGCAGTCTGAATAGAAGGAATGGGTTTCCAAGGGGGAATTCAGAATTTGTCTTTCTCCATAGAATAACTGCCTGTTTTGCATCCTGGGTTTAACTTCCCCATAACAATACAACACTCCAAATAATAATTTTTCCAAACACACACACGCATGCACACACACACACACATGAATCTCATCATCGTCCAATTTTTTCTCCGCCCTCAGCTCTGCCCCTTGCATTTGAAAAGGGAAATGCTGGGCGAGGGAGAAAACAGAAAGACACAATAAATATCAAACACAGAAAAGCATCCGCACATGCCAGCTTCCGTGCACAAGTCTTGTAAAGACCAATAATTTATTGTCTTTAATGAGACGGCTTCTCCGCCCGGCCTCATGGTCTGATCAGAAAGACACAGGGAAACAAACAAAAATATATCTATTTATACGTATAAAACACTATATAAAAAAAAGTGAGTTCCAGAGAGACACAGCTCTTTCTATTTTCAGTGAAATTTGTATAATTGGAAAGTGATGGGGGTGCCTTGGTGTGAGGTGGTGGGGTTTTTTGGGGGGGAGGTGAGGCTATGTAGTCTTGAAAGTTTTCTACTTTTTGGGGAGTCCAAACAGAACAGAAATTGCTGCCCTCAAGGTGTGATTAAGTCTCTTTTAGGGGTTTCAACTGACACTGTTTTGGAGAAAGAGACTGTTCCATTTATTTCCTGGGGAGAAGCCTGTGGATTCGAACCTGTGTCCTTTCAGCTTGGAGCCCTGAACGCTACCTCTACTATGGCATTGACATTACAATGCAAAGTTCTCCTTTGCTCTTTCTCTCTGGTTTGACCGGAGTGTGTTTGATTTTTTTCCTTCTCCTGACCCACCGTTTCGAGCTCTTAAAGCAACAAAACTACCAAGATTTTTTTAAAAAAGAGAGTTTGCACAGATGGGGGAAAAAATACATATTAATTAATTGTCCATGTAGAAATGTTGATTTTGGGGGTAG